CGCCCCGCCCCCAGGCTGGCCAGGCACCCAAGCGGGATCCCCCCCCTGATCCGGGACACGCTTCATGGCAAACAAGCTGGCCCCCACCCGTGCACCAGGCCTCTACCCTATATAGTAAAAGGATAATATGCCTCCCAGCACTGGGATCAGCGGAGCCATGAGGCCTCCCGGCACCGGGATCAGCATGACAGGGGGCAGCGCCCAAACCCCCTGATCGCCCTGCGGCTCTGTGTGTGACAGGGGGCGGGGCCACAACCTCCCTATCCACCCTGCTCTGTTCCTGACAGGGGAAGGAGTCCCAACCCCCTGATCACTCCTGCTCTGTGCCTGATACGGGGAGCTCTCCAACCCTCCCCCCCACGGGCCCTGCTCTGTGTGTGACGGGGTAGAGCCATAACCTCCCCATTGGCCCTGCCCTGAGTGTGAGAGTGGCGGCGCCCCAACCCCCTGATCCCTCCTGCTCTGTGGGTGATAGAGGGTGGTGCCCCAACTCCCTGATGGGCCCTGCTCTGTGTGTGACGGGGGCAGCGCCCCAACCCCCTGATGGGCCCTGCTCGGTGAGTGACAGGGGGTGGTGCCGCAACCTCCCCATGGACCCTGCCTTGAGTGTGACAGGGGACGGTGCCCCAACCCCCCAATCGGCCCTGCTCTGAGCCCGACCAGGGCCTGCACCTAGGGATTGGGCCTGCCCTCTGCCACCCGGGAGCAGGCCTAAGCCAGCAGGGTGTTATCTCCCGAGGGGTCCCAGACTGTGAGAGGGCACAGGCCGGGCTGAGGGACCCCCCTCCCACCCCCCGAGTGCACAAATTTTTGTGCACTGGGCCTCTAGTCTCTAATAACAATTGAGAAAACCAAACAACTCCTCTAACAGTTGGCTCCAAATGGCCAGTACTTGATTAATTACTGACAGCTTCCCTAATTTTTGTCCCCACTTCCACCTTGGGCTCAACCAGACAAAAACAAGTATGTATCCTTAACCAATCATATAGAACCTCCTGCTTCTAGTCAGTCCACTACAGCTTACCCATGCCAACCACCTCCAACCAGGGCATACTTGAAGATTTCCCTTTTTCCACTATAAAGCTTTCCCAGTTCTCTGCCTGCCTTTGAGTCTCTGCCAAAATGTAAGTGATGGTGGCTGGCTCCTTTGCTCCAGCAGGCTGTGAACTAATAAGTTTTGTTCTTATATGGTGGGCCTTTCTTTATTTCCATACTCATGTCCTTATTAGAGAAAAATAGAGGGGGATTTGATACTCAGACACACAGGAAAGTAGACCATGTAAGGATGAAGCCATAGAGCCCTAAGTCATGGAGTCATCAGAAACTAGAAGAACCACGGAAACCTTGAAGGGAGTATGGTCCTGACAACACCTTGATTTGAGACTACTGCCTCCATAACTATGAGAGAATACATTTTTGTCATTTACAGCCAACTAATCTGAGGTAATCTGTTATGGCAACCTTAGGAAAATAACAGAGCTTGTAACTAAAGAATTTGCATGTTATATGTCTTTTTCTGGAAGTACCCATAGACCTTAATGCAAATGGCTTAAAAACAACTCTTTAGATTTTTTAAATTCCACTTCTTCTCGTGAGAAGATTTACATGGTAATATGAGAATGTCTGGGTATTTCCCTAATATTCCCCCTTAACAGCCAGGCACTATCTCTGCCATCGAAGTGCTCCAAGTTGCTATGAAGGAGACAGACACATAGTCAAATAATTAAAATGTAGGAGGTAAGGGAAATACTAAGTCTAGTAACAATCTCTAACCAATTAACTCATTCATTTTATAAATCATAAGCTGCTAATTCCCATATTATGCTTAATGCTAAATGGTTAAGAAGGTCCTTTGTGGAGAATCTGCCTAGTTCTGCTCCTAAAAAATTGATTTGTACACTCTGAGGGGTTACTTGTGTTTTTCCCAAACCTGTTTATGTTAGTTGTACTTATTACTATGCTTTCACAATTTAATTAAATGTTAAGGGAAACCAATGAAATAGTGTGGAAATAAAGTTTGTTGTTTCTTTAAAATCTATGTTAATATTTTGGCAACACCCAATAAAGGTAAGTTTTTTGAATGTTAGATACTATGAAAGATTATAAAAAAGAGATCTTACTCAGCTTCACAAGTGTCTTTAAGGTATTTTCCTCTTAAAGGAAGAAAATCTTGGGATAGCTTAATTGATGGTTTAGAGGCATAGTTTATGCAAGAAATACAATGCAGAACTCTATTCAGCAGGCCATGTATAAAGAAAAGGCCTTGGCTTTCTCAATCTAGTGACAAATGAGCAAACAGTTGTTTTAGGATAAAACAAAATATTTACGGTATTTATGTTATACTTTCTCATGATTCTCTGGTTTGACTGACTTCCTTTTAAACAGATTTATTTAGACATAATTTATATACCAGCATGTTTATCCTTACAAAAGATAGTGTACAATTCAGTGTTTAATTTTTTTTTCCAATTTATTGCTTGGCTATAGGTCCATGCCACATCTATGAGAGGGCTTCTTCTGGGTGAACAAAAGGCTAAAGAAGCAATTAATTCCACTTGGTGAGGAAATGGGAATTCAAGGAAGATTATGTTTGAACTTGAAGGGTCTTGAACAAGTAACAGTTAAATAAGTGGAGGGAACCAATGGGGGGGAGGGACATCTGTAATACTTTCAACAATAAAGATAAATTTTTAAAAAAGAGAGAGGAGTATTCTAAGTGAAGAAATAGCATATGTAAAGGATGAAATCATGTGGCCCTCCCAAGGAACAGCCTTGAGTTTGAGTGGCTTGGGAATGGGGAAGTTGTTTTTTCAAAACTAATTATGCATATGAATCATCTGTAGAGATTAAAACAAAAGAAAGCAAAACATGCCTAGACTTGACCACCAGAGATTGTTTCAAATGTATATCTGGAGTGGAGTCCCTGGATTTATATATTTATTTACTGATTGACTGATTGTTAATCCTCACCAGAGGGTATTTTTTCCATTGATTTTTAGAGTGGGAGGGAGGGGGAGAGACAGAGAGAGAAACACTGATGTGAGAGAGACATATAGATTGATTGCCTCCTGCCTGTGCACTGACCAGGGCCAGGGATTGGGCCAGCAATCGAGCTTGACCCGAATCAAACCCAGGACCCTTCAGTCCATGGGCCAATAATCCAACCACTGAGCCAAACCAGCTAGGGCTGGATTTATTTTTTTAAAGTTCTACTTGTCATTCTGATGTGCAGCCAGGTTTGAGAACCATAGCAGTTGGTGACTGGAGATGAGGTAAGAGTGTTAGAAGATGAGCAGAAGGACCAGATGAAAGGAAACAGTATGTCAATAAAATAGTATGACAAATTCTCTCTTCCCTGACAGCTTCTCTACATTGAAATGTTTGTGTTTTTTTTTAAAAAAAGTCACTATTGTAACATGAAAGAAAAATAACTCCCACCATTGTCTATAAAAACGGATAAATGTGTTAAACTGGCTTTGTAACTAAAAGACTGTGGGGCGCGCGGCTATAGTGTTTTGGACAGGTTCAAGCCTTGGACTGAGGAGGGGGCACAGTTCTCTCATTGCCATGTGCAAGTCCCAGCTTGGAGGGCAGAGCCTTCCCAGCACAACTGTAGCCAACAGCTATAGTTGTAAGCTTGAATCTGGACCAAACACGTGGCCCCAAGTGCCTGCGTGATATAGATCAGGTGCATGTAGTTGAGTAGGATTGAAACCAATGAGAATGCTCTAAACATCTTAGTCACGCCCTTACTTTGCCTCGTGGCATCTGCTATAAAATAAAGACAAGGCTTGTGGGCGCTGGCGCTGTCCATCAGAGGAGCAGCGTCCCACCGAGACCCAGCTTTCATTCTCTTGTCTGTCTTTTCTAAGCCTTTCACCACCCCGACTCGGTCACTGAACCAGGCTGAGCTGGCGTGGCACATAAGGCGCCCTGGGGCTGAGTATGCCATGGCCATGCCCACTGGACACAAAAGACCTCCTATTCTGGGTTAGCGATCCCATTCTCTAATCAGGTTACGACCCCTTTGGGGGTCAAACGACCCTTTCACAGGGGTTGCCAAAGACCATCGGAAAACACATATATAATTACATATTGTTTTTGTGATTAATCACTGTGCTTTAGTTATGTTCAATTTGTAACAATGAAATTGGGGGTCACCACAACATGAGGAACTGTATTAAAGTGTCTCAGCATTAGGAAGGTTGAGAACCACTGAAATAGAAGCATTTGCCCCCTCCAAATGCTGTTCTCAACTCCCAGATATGCAAATTCTTTCTCTTTCAGGTAAAGCTTCTTGGCCCTTATCACCTGAGCCACTATAAAATAAAAGGCATCTCTGCCTCCCATCATGACCAGTTCCACTGAAAATATCCTTTCTCCTACTTTTTACCACAGCATCCGTCTTCCACATCATATGTTTAATTTTTAAAAATAAATGGATGCTATACTCTTTGGGGGCTGATAGGGTATGCTAACTTGCACCTTTATCACAATTTTAATGGTTAGTAGCTTCTAATTTTTCTACTAGTGGCACATATTTTTATTTATTTTAATCCTCGCCTGAGGTTATGTTCT